ACAAACAAATGAGTATATATATAGTATAATCTCAGGGGCCTGAGATTTTGAAAAAATGAAATAGGTTAAGAGGTTAGAAAGTGATCAGAGTGGTGGAAGAAAGCACACTCTTTTAGATAGGCTGAGTAGGGAAGGCTTGTATGAGGCAATGATGCTTGAGCCAGGATGCAAATTATAGGAAGAAATGTGCTGTTCAAATAGTAAGCAGAGGAAGCAGGGTATATTCAGAGTCTGGGTATAACTCTCAGTGCATTGGGGAGCTACTTGAGGGTTTCTCTCTTTTAATACTTTTAAATAATAGAGTATTGTACTCTGATTTGCATTTCAAAAATATCAACTGAGTGCAGTATGGAGAATGCACATGGAGGAAGAGAGTCATAGTAGAAAGGTATAGAAGTCAGAAAAAACCCCCAGAGATCCTAGAGGTGAGAAATGAACCAGTTTTTGCCTCTGGTGATGACAGAATAGCTTGTATTAGAGCAACCCTTCCGCCAACAGTAGAGGTTGGATAAAATACACAGAACAACAAATTTAAGACACAAAAGAACAAACAAGGCATGAGGACTTAAGTGGCCACAGTACTCGAGAGAAGGATCGTACATGAGGTATGAACCCTACTTTTATCTTGGCTCTTAGCCTAAGGTCATTTCTCTGTTCACATCATCACATCGTGGATACAGAGGCTAATCAGAGAATGCTGGGCATTCTTTTACTTTCCCTAGGCTAGAGAAACAGAAGTTGGAGCTTGGAACTTGAAACCAGGACTTTACTGAGATAGCTGCGGACAGATGTGTCTGTAGTTATACATGCAGTTTTCCTGAGAGGTGTTTGCCAACGTTTAGCTACTTTAAGCATAGGGCAAAAGTCTCATAAACCAGGCTGAAAGCTGCAGGTAGGAGGCTAAAAAAACTGATTCAAGATTTCAGTTTTGCTCTGGGGATAAAGAGGTTAGAGTTTAAGTTCAAACAAGTTGGAGGGTCCTTGTAAAATACTCTAGGCTTTTATTTGTAACCCCAGAAATATTCCATCTTGGGAATATGGGATATTCAAAGACCAGCCCAAAAAGTCCTACAGTTGGTGCCTTTAAATAATGAAAAGTGACATTTAAGTACACTCCCTGCTTACCTGAAGGAAAATAAATCTATTCTGGAGAAAGGTAGCATTAGTGCAACTACAAACTTTTATATACACTGTCTAGGATTCAACCAGAAACCACTTACTACACATATCAGGAAACAAGATCTAGTGACCAAAACTAAGAAATAAAAAAAGATAATTGAAACAAATCTCTTGGAAATGTAGATAATAGACTTTTAAGTAATTGTAGTAGAAAATATTAATAAGGATTCATAATACCAGAGAACTGGAGTATATAAGAATGTATAATTAGAAAACTACAAAATATTCATTCAAACCAAAGTCATACAGAACTTTTCCAAAAATTGATCATTTGCTGAGTTATAATTCATCTCATTGAGTTTCTGATTGAAATAATCTCAAATGTGTTCTCTAATCATAGTGGAATAAAGCTATAATTAATAACAAAAATATAACTAGAAAATGCTTATGAGTCAAAATTGAGAAGGACTTCTAAATAACTCATGGGTGAAAAGGTACAAATAAAATGGAAAAATATATGGAAAGTAGTGATAATGAAGATAAAACATGTAATAAAACTTGTACTTAGAGAAAAATAGACTCTCATAGGTCTTATGTATTAAAAAAAATAGACTGAAAGTCAGTGATCAAGGTTTTCATTTCAAGAAGCTATTTTAAGAAAGCAATACACCCAAAAAGAAAGAAAGGAGAGAAAAAATTCAATTAAACTGAAAAAAAAATCTATAATAGAAGAAGCTCAACAAAACTAAAAGGTGGTAGCTTTAAAAAGATTAATACGGTTGATAAGCTTCTAGCAAACTATTCATACAGAGAAAAAGATTATAAATTACCAGTATCAGAAATAGACCAACCAACCCTATAGACCCTATAGGGATTAAAAATCCTAAAAGGATGTTATGAATAACTTTGTATCTACAAATTTTATTTTTTGAGGTTTATTTATTTATTCCAAGGTGGGCAGAGGGGGAGGGAGAAAATATCACTCAGGCTCTGCACTGACTGCACAGAGACCGAAGCAAGGCTCATTCTCACAAACCACAAGATCATGACCTGAGCCGAAATCAAGAGTGCCACACTTAACTGACTGAATCACCCAGGTATCCCATACCTAGAAAATTTTAAAATGTAGATGAAATGGACAAGTTCTTTGAAAAAAATTATAAAACTAACATAAAAAGGAAGAAAACATCTGAATATTCTGGTACCCACTAAGAAGTAGAATCTATAAAGTCTTCCCCTTGCAAGCCCAGTTTTTAACTGAGTTATTATGGATTTGTAAGAATTATTGGTATTTTATAAATGAGAGTCTTTTGTCAGATGTATATAATGGAGATATCTTTGCCTACTCTGTAATTTGTCTTTTTATTCCCTTAAATGATTATAGATTATCCCCTGAAACAGGAGGGAAGGTAGAGTGTATAAAGTGTATAAATTTTAATTCAATTTGGTTGGTTGGTTTGGTGGTGAGATGTTTCCTATCTTCTCAATGTATCTGCTTTTTGTTTCCTCATAGAGTAGGGCTAGTATTGTAACTTAAACAATTCTCAGGAAGATTAAGTATTTTAATGTATACACATACCTTAATGTATCTTAAAACAGAGCCAAGCATATATTAATTAAGCCAAGCCTTAAGCAGTGTTGAATACTTTTGGGGCACCTGGGTGACTCAGTCACTTGAGTATCTGACTTCAGCTCAGGTCGTGATCTCACAGTTGGTGGGTTTGAGCCCGGCATCAGTCCCTGTGTTGATGACTCAGAGCCTCGAGCCTTCTTTGGATTCTGTGTCTCCCTCTCTCTCTCTCTCTCTGCCCCTCCCTGCTCTTTGTTTCTCTTTCTCTCAAAAATAAATGAAAACATTGAAAAAATTTTTTAATAAAATTTTTTTTTACTTTTTACTTACTACTTTTCAAAAAAAATTCAATGACAAAGAAATGAATATTTATGTCTGTGGAGGAAAAAAATAAAAACCTCCAGTGGTTCACCATTATCCAACTGACAGAGTCTAAAATTTTAAGCCTAGTTTTCAGCTTTCCCACTTTATGGCCCCAACAACTTTAATAAGTCTGTTTATCTTCTGTTCTAGTAAAAGTTCTTTTGTTGAAAGAAAAGAAACCTAAAAGTAGCACAGTGTATTATCACAATATAATAGAGAATTCCACAAACATACAAGGACAGGAAATTAGGTGCAGCCCAGTTTTGCATGAATTGAAATTAATAAATCAGGAAGCAGGGCTTTCCCCACATTTCTTATCTAGCACTAGCACAGTCTCCTGTGTCTAACTTTCTCTGGAGAGCAACTCTCCCACCTTCTGCTCTGGTGAAATCATAGCCTTTTGATTCAAACCACCACTACCAGTCTCTGTGTCTTTCAAAGGAAATTTTAAGAGAGAAACTTGAGACTGCTAACCAATGGCTTGTTTCTTCCTTCCTCTCTTCTGATCAGCCACAGCTAATTGTAGGTTCCCCAAGGCTTACTCAGCAGGTTAATGGACTAACCACTGGGTAAGCTAAAAGGGGTTTTGAGTTTGATGTGCAAATTGAGTGCCATGCTAATCACATCCATATCATTCCTGTTTTTCACAGTACTGCTGCTTCTAGTTGGTCAGGTTTTACCACTGTCTAGATTGACTCCTTTATGATCCTTCTTATCCAGAGGTTTGGTGAATTCACTAGAGGTATAGACATTTCTAAAGAATGTATTTTTTTTTTTCCTGGATGCCTGGGTGGTTCAGTCGGTGAAGCATCAGACTCTTGGTTTTGGGTCAGGCCATGATCTCAGGATTCGTGAGTTCAAATCTCATGGTTTGTGAGTTTGGCCCTGCATCAGGCCTCATGCTGACAGTGCGGAGCCTGCTTGGATTCTCTCTGCCCCTCCCCAGCCCCTCTCTCTCTCTCTCTCTCTCTCACACAAAAATAAATAAGTCAACTTTTAAAAAATGCTTTTTCCCTCCATACCAGTTGGTTGGCCATCATCTATAATGATTAGTGTCACCTTTATTCTCAACTGTCATTGCATTGTTTTGACTTTTTATCTCATTAATCTTAATAGATTTTCTGGAAATTTGTGAGAGGGATGAGTGCAAATGAAAGCAATTGAATTAAAAAATTCTCATTACAAATGTGACCTCTTCTATTCTTTCATTTTAAACAAAGAGTCCAAGAGAAATGCTTTGGATCATAAAAAACAAAAACAAAATCTGGCTAGTCTCAACTACTGAATGATATTACCCCTTTCAAAAGTAAAATTAAATATTAACATTGAGTCAGAATTGCTTCTGTTATTTTCTACTAGAATATATGGTTTTGGGTAACTTTATTGTGAGTTTGTTTTTTTACAGTTTGAATATTTGGTAGTAGTTTTAAAATGTTCTGGGTGCAAACTCAATAACTCATGATTTGGATGTAAGGTGAGTCATGAAATTTGGTTCATTATTAGTTATCTAAAACCTCCCTTTGGACGGATAGGTGAGAAGTTTTCTTAAACAAGTGGTGGGACAGTGGTCATTTTTTTTTTTTTTAAAGAATGGACTCTGTTCTTCAGGTTTTATAAGGGGACTCATTTTAATTAGCATATTGATTTGGGCTTTGAAGTAAAGAGTTATGAAAAGTCTCTGACATGAGTAACTCAAAAGGTAGGTCCCTTCAGAGTACAGAAAGTTAATATGATACTCTGTATCCTATATATTTAGAGAAACAAATGAAAAAAAACAAACTTGCCTGTTCTTATCTACTTAAATATTTTTTGTCTTTATCAGATGTATATTTTGAGTGAATCGTTCTTTACATATTAAGGTGCTTATATTTTTGATGACACAGTGGACAAAATATTTTTTTAACTCCTAATCTTTTTTTCACATTTGATTCTTTCTTCTTCCTTTCAGGGTAGAGCCTGGATTAGAGTAGCACTCATGGAAAAGCATTTATCTGAATACATCTCTACAGCTCTGAGAGACTTCAAAACAACCAGGTTTAAAAGTCTTTTTGATTTTTCAAATATGTTTTTCAAAGAATCACCTAAAGTTTAGAAATAAGAGTAGAATGAAGATTCATTTCTTTCTTAAATTCTCAGCAATTTTATTTCCTCTTTTTTGTACTGCTCGGGTAAATCTACTGTCTTCTCAGGAAAATGCCATTTGTCAGCTAAACATGCATCTTCTTTGGTTTATCTTTTCAGGCTTCACATTATACCTAGAATATCTTTCTGAATCATTTCTATTTCTCACATTTTTAATACATTCTCTCCATAGAGAGGTTCATTCTCTACAAGACTTTTCCCTGACCGATTGAGAAAAATCTAACCATCAGATTCCTATAGCATTCCTTCTTTTTCTGTATTACATTTATTTCATTTCCCTTCCTTTAGTTCGTGTATATAACCAGTGATTGTTCAGTTGTCTTTTTAAGGCAGACTAGACCAGTGTTGTTTTTCTTAGGTTGTATACATTTAAGAGATGACACACTGTGCCATGGGACTTTATTTTTTTACAATGGTAAAAAAAAAAAAAAAAGGTTAATATTAGGAAAACAGGCATTCCTATAAAACTCTGGTCTACTAATCTCTATGCTTATAGCTGTTGTTAAAGAAACCAATTTTCTCCATTTCAAAAGTATTTGTAAATGAAAATGCTCAGTAATTTCAATACCCTAAACATGTGCGATTCAATACAATGGCCACTAATCACATGCCACCATGTAAATGACTATTATTTAAGAGTAAGTAAAATTACCAAATTGCTTCATCAGTTGCCATGTCACATTTCAGAAGTTGAGTAGGCATGTGCAGCTAATCACTAACAAAGTGGACAACACAGATGCAGAACATTCTATTGGACCACGCTGCCTTAGGCACTTCTAAATTACCATACATATTACTACCTCATAAGTTATATTTCTGAAAGAGAAGAAAAGAGTGACAACTATAAACCAGATTTGATAGAAGAATTAGGCACATATATAAAGAAATCATGTATCTGGAATCTTACTTTCCATGTCCTGATGCAATATTTGGCATTTTAGAGTTTGAGAAAATCTGGGCATTTATTATGGTACATTTTTGCTTTGTTTTTTCCCCACTTAGGTATAATTGACACATTGTGTCAGTGTAAGGTGTACAACATGTTGACTTGATAAACATATACAATCAAATGATTACTATCACTAACGTTTCCATCATGTCATGCAATTGTTTGATATATACTTACTGAATTCTTTTATTGCAGTGTGATTCTTTGGGGATATTTCTAAAGATGGGCAATGAAATGATGATGAATTCTTAGACGTTTGAGATGAACTTTGTGAAATGAAAATTTTGTTACTTCTATTATTGCTAAGTAAATAAGTTCAATATGGAAGATACTAAATATTGAAGATACTAAGGTTTTTGAAGATAAAAGTAGTATAAGAAGCTCATAGATCAAACCTATAAATCCTAAATCAGTGAAATCAAAACCGAGTTTACATAGTAATTACCTCCTGTGCTATTACAAGGTTGTTAATTAAAGTTATGATAGTCTTATGAATAGAAATTAAAGCATTAATAATATAAGTTGTTAGTCTTGTTTCCTAGACACGTGAGTGGAGTAAAAACAGTTCTTGAATAGATTTTTAGAGTGAGTAGTTCAAATATTTAAAGGGAAATGCTTTTTACCTCATTCTTAGGTGTTACCTGTCTTCTGATAAAAAGAAATGATTTAGCTCTAAAAAAGTCCATGAAATAAAAATACTCTTGTAAAAATACATAAGCATACATTATTGAAACAGAAACATGGCTTAGTCAATGTTTATACACACATACATGCAAATATATAATGTTTCTATAACACAAACACTCATAATATTTGAATGTGAATATAATGGCTCTAATTTCCAGGAAAGGACAGAGGGTGTTATTTCAGAATTCTTATCTTAGAAGTTAAAAAAAATGCAGTTGCAAAAAGTCTTCCTTTTTAAAAGCAAAACAAAACACAACTATGCTATTTTTTCTTCTTACTGAAATCAAACCAAAGAAACTTCTTAATTATAAATAAAGTTGTGAACATCTGGTCAAGACATATCTATTTGAAAGATTAGGTTTGTGAAATACGAGGAAACTATTGGAAAGAATAGTTACATCTTACCTTTTGTCTGGATGCTCCCTGACATAAGTGCTTGTAGAACAATGAGAAATGATCTCTGATCCTTTAGGAATCTTGAGAGTATCTGAATCAAGTGTTCTTTTCTTGTTCTACTCTTCACAGATAAAGAGTAAGGACGTCCTTTAAAATGGTGATGCAAGTGTTTACCCCAATACAGAAGGAGGAGCTACATGAGCTAAGACAGGCAAGCTTGAGAATACTAATCTGTGAAAATCCAAGGATAAGATTGGGTGAAGAAGTAGAGGAAGAGAAATATAGTAAATTAACTTGTAGGAGTACATCACATGGCTCTGTAGTATTAGAGATATTCAAGTGTTTTTTTTTCTAAGGTAGAGAATGTCTTAGTGAGCAGTTGAAAACCACCCTTGCAGGGTTTCTGGTTTAGAGGTTGAGATGTTACTGGGAAATAATCAGAGTTGGGAGGATGGAGAGTTGAGACTAGAATCCAAGCCAAAAAAAAAAAAATAAAGGTGGGCAGTTGTTTTGGTAGTTTACTGGGAAGACTGAGAAACAGAGAAGTAAAGTAGAAACTGAATTAATTTGTTCCAAGTTTTAATTTCTCCCTACCAGAAAACTGAAAAATAATTAGAAAAGTTAAGCTAAAGAACACAAATGTGATACTTGAAACAAGATTGAAACCATTCTGGTAAGAATTTGAAGTAACAAATATGGAAAATATGAAGTAGAGATAAAATTAGTTTTATAGAGACCTGTTTATTACTTTACAGTTGTATCTTATGTATCATATTATGACCAAAGTTGTGTTCAAAGAAATAATAACTTTTTGATAATTATAGTAGGAGTAAGAGAAGGAGTGAAGTATAAAACAAAACTTCAAAAATTAATTGAGCTGTCACAAAGTGAAAAAAGAGTTGATACTTTTCCCACTTACAGAAAAGTAGATATAATAGTGAAAAATTACCATATCTTTCAAGAGCTAATGAAGATATAGAATCTGAATCTGGTAATTTCTTTTGTATAATTAAGATGAAAAGCATTAATAAAACTTACTTGTGGACTACTCCCTTATAGCATATATAAAAATTACTTGAAACGGATCAGACTTACATGAAAACTCTTAGAAGAAAACATACGTGTAAATCTTCCTGACCTGGGATTAGGGATAATTTCCTGGATGTAATACCAAATATACAAACCACAAAAGAAAAAAAATAGATAAATTGGCATAATCAAACTTAAAAACTTTGCTTTGAAGAATATCATCAAGAAAGTGAAAAGATGATCTAAAGAATGGGAGAAGATGTTTGCAAAGTTGAATGTCTGATAAGGGACTTGTATCTAGAATGTGTGTAAAGAACTCTTAGAACTTAATAATGAAAACAAAAACAAAACGTTTACAAATGGGCAAAGTCTCTGAATAGGTATTTTTCTAGACAAGATGCACAAATGACCAATAAACATGAAAGACACTAAACACCATTAACTATCAGGGAATTGCAAATCAAAACCACAATGAGATACTATGCTCACCCACTAGAATGGCTAAAATCAAAAAACCTAATAACAAGTATTGGTAAGAATCTGGAAAAATTGAAATCCTCATAAATTGGTAGAAAGAAACAAATGATGCAGCCCCTTTGAAAACCAGTCTGGCAGTGTCTCAAAAAGTTAAATATAAATTTACCACATGACCCAGCACATAACTCCTACATATATGGATACATACATATATGTGTGTGTATGTGTGTGTATCTATGTATGTATATATCTGTATATATATTTCCAAAAGAATTGAAAACATGTTCACAAAAAGTATATATACAGATGTTCATTGCATCATTATTCATAATAACCAAAAAATGGTAACAACCCAAATGTCCTACCAACTGAATCAAAATAATATTCCATACTGTGGACTGATATTCAGTCATAAAAAAGAAATGAAGTGCTTCTTCTACCACTACTGGTACTTGCTTGTGTGTGTTTATTTGGTGTGGACCTGGTACCTCCTTTGTGAAGTGGCAGCTGAGGAGACTCTGAAATTCTTCATGGTCAATGAAAAGCCCAAGGAAGGAGTCAAGACTGAGAAAAATAATCGAAATATTAATTTGGAGTTGGTGGGGCAGGATGCTTCTGTGGTGCACTGTAAGATTAAGAGGCATACAACACTTAGCAAACTAATGAAAGCTTACTGTGAACTATAGGGTTTGTCTGTGAGGCAGATCAGATTCCCATTTGAAAGACAGCCAGCCAGTGAAACAGACATACCTACACAGTTGAAAATAGAGGATGAAGATAAAACTGATGTTTTCCAGCAGCAGAGAGAAGGTGTCTACTAAAGAAGAAACCTGCTACTTTATTCCAGAACTCTGTTCCTACAGACCAAGAATACATTCTCTGTTTAAAAAAAAAAAAAAAGCAACCAACTCAGTTTGATTTCACCACTTCCTGAGTACTACTTGATAGTTTTCTCTTTTCTTTCATTTTTCCCTTTCTCATTCCTTTACAGTGCATACAGTAATTGGTGCATTTGTACTAGCATATTGCTTTTTTTGTACTAACTATCCAGTGGTAAATTTTGATTGATATCAAATCAGGATGGAATGGGGAAAAATGACGACTCTGAAAATATGCTCATTCTCCATGCTCATGCTCCTTCACCTCTTTATATTCCAGTAAATTATTTTGCTTTCACTGCTTAACAACACAGCAGAAAGAACATAAACATTCTGGCATACCTTGTTTGATAGAGACTTTGACTGTTTTTCATTTATTGTAAAATCAAGGACACTTTTGTATCTTTTTTGTATGTAGCTCTTAAATGTAAGGTAATCAGTTTTTAGTAGGGATAAATTACTCTATAAGAGATAAATCCTAGATTGTTTTCCCTTCACATTGGACATCTTGTCTAAATAAACTTTTTGTTTAAAGAAAAATGAAGTACTGATACATGCTACAACATGGATAACCTCTGAAAACATTTTACTGTCCAAGAGCAATGCAAGCAGTAATTCCTGGAAATAAGTAAGAAAAACCTTAAGGATGAATCAGACGTTATTCTCTTGTAAAGATAAGAATAATCTTCCCTGTCATCCATATAGACCATGTGAACTGAGAATAATAAGCATTCTGAGTGCCCTTTGAAAATTGTTATTTATAAGGAAGACACTTGTTTTGATGGGCCCTGGATGTTATATGTAAGCAATGAATTGCTAAAATCTGCTCCTGAAACCAATATTACACTACATGTTAACTGACTAGAATTTAAATAAAAACTTAAAAAATAAAACAATTATACCTGAAAAGATAACAAAAAATAAATGTTGCTCTTTAGAGGGAACTGAATATTTCCATTAGCATTACAATCTAAGACCCCCTTTCATTAGAATATTGAATCTGTCATAAATGAATGCTCTTATTCCTGTCACCAAACATACCATAAATATATTCTCTTTGTTTTTTGTTGTTGTTGTTGTTATTGTGTTGGAATGTCTCTCCTCCTGACAGAGACCCCCATCTTCTGGATCCTGTCCCCATTTGTCTTCCTTTAGTTATCACCTTTCTCATTCCTCATCCTCAGTCTCTTTCCCACTGTTGGATCATTCCCACCTGCATAGAAACATATACTGGTATCTCCTACCTGAAAAGAAAAACATCTCCATTGAACCTGTATTTCCTTCTGCTCCTTTCCATGCTCTGCTTTATCACCTCACTTCTCAAAAATTTTATACATACTGTCATCACTTCCTTTCCTCAGAGTCACTGTTGTATCCACTCTTGTCCAGCTTTTGACCCTCACCATTCCACCAAGGATAATTTTTTAAAGGGTACCAGTAACATAAAAGCTCCCAAATGGATGTTTCTCTTGGCCATACTTTATGCCATTGCCCAGCTAAAACAGTTAAATACTTCTTCTTTCTTGAAAAACCTGTCTTTAATTTCTGTAACATTGCATGGCTTGTCCTTCCCCCGTGTAATTGCTCTTCTGACTCTATCTCTGTTTCTCTTTTTGATTTCTTTTGCTCTTCACAACTTTGAAAGATCAATATCTGCTGACTTAGCCCTGTATTGTGTGATCTTTATTTTCTTTTCATATTCCTTTCTGTCTTCATAGAATTTTTAGAATGGCTCTAAATACCACGTGTATGATCATGACACCACATTTATTAAATTTAAAAAATCTTTTTATTTATTTTTGAGAGAGAGACAGAGCATGAGTGGGGGAGGAGCACAGAGAGAGTGAGACAAAGAATCTGAAGCTGGCTCCAGGCCCTGAGCTGTCAGCACAGAGCCCGATGCAGGGCTTGAACTTACGGACCGCGAGATCATGACTTGAGCCAAAGTCCGATGCTTAACTGACTGAGCCACCCAGGCACCCCTCTTGACACCACATTTAAATCTCTACCTAGAGAGTTTAGATCAAGAACTTTTTCCCCTCTAATCCTCTTTACCCCTTTTTTAACAAGTGGTCTCACAGTCTACCTACATGGTTGATCAAGTGAGAATCTAAATTCATATTTGATTTCTCTTTCTCATTCTCTATAATCATTCCTAACCGGCAAGTCTTGTCAGTCCTCTTTCCAAAATATATCTTGATCTATTTACCTTAATCTCCATGGCTGTTATAAATACCTCATTTATCTGTTGTCTCCACACTCTCTTGTGGGTGTCCTAATTGAACTTCCAGTTTGTCCCCTTCTACTAGCCATTTATCTTCCAACCAGTCTTCTTAAGTGTTAAAAAGATTGTGTTAATTCCCGCATAAAGCATTAGAATGATTTTTCTTCAAACACATTTCTTGGAGTCAAATCCTGGTTTCACCACTTTCTGGCTGTAGAATCTTAGACAAGTGCTTAATCCCTCCTGGCATAATATGTGCTAGTAAAGTTAAAATTATTCGTATAAAGCATTTGTAACTGTGCTTGGCACTCAGTAAATGTTCACATTTATTATTAATGTTATATGGCCTTTGGAACCCAGAGTTGAGTTCTCCTTCAATTTTTCTCTACTTCAACAACCTATTTATTTGCTTTGTACTACTTACCATCAAGTCTAATTACCTTCTTTGTTGCTTGTTCTCTCCCTCAGACAGTAAGCCTCATGGAGAGGGAACCATGCTTAGGTTGTCCATTATTTCACTTTTGTACCTAGCACAGTTCTTGCCACATAGTAGGAATTTATACTGTATTTGTTGATAAAATAATTAATGAATCTCACATTCTTAGCAAGATATTTGGAGATTTACTTTTTAGTCAGGTTTTCATTCTGATTCATTCTGGCTGAATGGAATGTAACATTTGTTTATAATATTATAATCTATTTTGCATGCCATGAGGGAGACTTTTCTAATTTCCTCCCTTAAAATTTCATATATAGAGACTAACTTGGGCAAGGGAACAAGAATATGATAATGAAATTTCTTTGGTTTAGAAGAGAAACTTTCTCATATTTTAATATTGCATTTCAGTATGTAGAATAACTTCTGACTCTCAAAAGAAAATTTGAAGCATGATATTATATAGTATTGATAAGATACCCTGGTGGTTTACCCTGAATGCCATCCAAAGGGTATTTGTTATTGAAATACCTGAAGGGCCTTCCAATAGTTTTACAGAATGAACACCAAATATAGAATTATAGAGATATATTTCAATGAGAGTTAAATTATATATGATGAGAAAAATTACTGTTATTATTAGAGTGTTATTTTAAATGCTTTTCTGGTTTCTAATATTTTTGTAGTCAACAAATAATTGGAAAGAGTACACCTAATAAGTGGAAGCAGGGCTCCTGGGTGGCTCAGTGGGTTAAGCGTCCAACTCCTGATTTAGGCTCAGATCAAGATCTCACAGTTTGTGAGATAAAGCCCTGCATCAGGCTCTGCACTGTCAATGATGGGCCTGCTTAGAATTCTCTATCTGCTCCTCCCCTACTTGTTCTCTCTCTCTTTCTCTCTCTCTCAAAAACACATGAAAAAAAAATTTTTTTAAGTGGAAACTTTTCTTTCAAATTACAGTAATATCAATAATTGCTCGTAATTTTCCTTTGATTCTAACATGCAACATTCTAACAAGATTGTTGCATCTAAGATCTAAGATCTAAGATTTAGAGATACAATCTAATGTATAAAGCTTTAAATTGAAGTTTTTTTTAAATTGTTCTGATTATAATACCTGTGATGCTTATTTATTTATTTATTTATTTATTTATTTATGTTTTATTTATTTCAAAGAGAGAGAGAGAGAGACAGCGTGAGCAGGAGAGGGTCAGAGAGAGAGGGAGTCATAGACTGAAACAGGCTCCAGGCTCCAAGCCGGCAGTCAGCACAGAGCCCCGACGCGGGGCTCGAACCCACGAACCGAGAGATCATGACCTAAGCGAAAGTCGGACGCTTAACCGACTAAGCCACCCAGGCGCCCCTAAATTGAAGTTTTAATACATCTTTTTCACCTTGGTACTTTCAGTATTTATAATATGTTTTAGGAATTTATTATACTGTTTTGGTTAGGTCCTCATACAATTATTTTCTTTAAAAGAAAAAATATTTTCAACAAAAGAAAGGGAATTTTTTTAGTGTATACCTTACTATTATTGAATTTAGTCATCTTAGGATTTACCTTTGGCTCATTTGTTCCATAATTTTGGTTATATAAGCAAGCTTTATTAATGCTCTAGTTTTTCCATGAGATAAAATGAAGAGGCTTACAGTTTTGTTTTGAAGTCTTTGAAAGGGTTGATAACAAGAATCAGATTTTTAGTCAAAATTATTGATATATTGATTTGATTAAGAGAATAAAAATTAATTTTTCCTAACACCTTCTTCTTTAATACATGAGAGTAATGTCTTTGATTAAATGATAAAAATATCTTTTTCAGTTCAGATCACTGTAACTCAGTATTTTTTTGAATACTGAATTATTTTTAAGCTTTATCTCAGAAGTGTATTTTATGAAAAATACATTTTTTTCTTAGCTTGCACTAATAGTGAAGATGTTGAGCATACAGTGGACAGCTCGTTAACTTGCACTTGCTCTACCATTTGTTCTAAAATCCCCTCTGTTGCAGTAAAAACTGTCATAATAAATGAGGTCTATGCAGCATTCCACTTCAGATACGGTTTTGTTGAAGTGGAATTATTTCACAGATAGCAAGTGTTTCACTTATATTGGTTAACTTAAAAAATTATTAGTAAAACTTAAGCCAAAGAACTCATCAAAACAATATTATATGAGCTCTTTAGACTTTAAGAAATATCTGAAATGGGTTAGATTTGTGAGTGGTTTTGGTATATTCAGCACTCCCTAACACAATGTCGACATTAGGAAACAAGCAGAAATAGTTTTGATCTGACTCTTAGAATGTACTTTTAAACATGGTGGACTCAAGATGGAAAAAAAAAAGTTGACCTTTTCTTATATAGGGAAATAAGAGGAATAATGGGTGATTCCCAGTTATCAAAAATCAGAAATCTTTCTAAGGCATGTGTTCAATAGAATTTGGGTTCTAGAGCCATTGTAATGATAACTCTTCTAGGAGTTAGAATATTTTGTCAACAGCCACTTTAGCTATTCGAGCAGTGGCAAAATCTCAGATATATAAATATATTTAAATATCTTTACCATTTTGTGGAAAACCTTAATTAAATATGTGGAAATTCCTTCCATTCATTTTATTAATCTTTGTTAAGCTGGGAGTTTTAGTTTTTCTCTTCTTACATAAATGAATTAAAGCAATTCCCATATTTCCAAAGAAACAGAAAACATCTACTCCAGGCAAGTTTTCCCTTCATATTTGTTTGTATCTGACAGAGCGTCTCATATTTTCCTTTATACTTTTCTATTATTTACAATTCCTTATGAACTATAATATAGGTTAAATTCTCTTTAAATATTTTTGTTTTATAGGAAGTGATAAAGTTAATAGAAAGTATATAGAACTTAGTGTAAGAATTGTGTTTCTTCCTTGAGCAGTTGATTTGCATGAGCTTGGGCAAATTATTTTAACCTAATTCTTAATGTTACTTGATGGTAAATTTGAAACTAATGATAGATCTTTCCACCTTTGCTTCATGGGCTTTGAAAAGAAGTATCAAAGGATATTTTTATAGAAGTATTTTTTAAACTGTGAACTATTCAAAATTGGTGGTGGGATTATGAGCATATTAAAAAATTTTTGCAGCCTTTATAAACTCATGACTAAAAAGTGTACACAAATTCCATTTACTAAAATATATTCCTTTTAGTTAGTGGGATCTTACAGAGTGGTCTCCACTATCTATATGTAATATAAATAGATAAAACAAATGATCCCTGTTATTGAACATAAACTAGTTTTTGTACATTATTATTTTTTAAAAGAAAGTAAATACAATGATTGTACTTTTTTGATGGAAAAATGCCATAGGCTCATATCATAATATGTTCTCAAAATATTTATTTTAAACATATTAAAATAAAATTTTAGTATTTTAAAACTGACATTAACCAAAACAGAAAGCTTTACAGGAATTAATAGAGGTAGATTCATAATCCTATTTTGTCAGAGATAATGAATACTTTCCTTTTTCATACTCAGACACCGTGCTAGCCCATTAGTATTACAGTGTTAAAGGTTAACATGGATTACTAATGATCACATCTCTCTAGCTCTCCATTTAGTTAATAACTCCTGCATTTACAGAAAAACAATGTGTGTTTGTGTTTGTTCTTTGTATACAATAATATCTACATAGTTTCAAAATTAGACCAGTATAAATGACTATGAATTTTCCACCTTTCAAATTACATTCATACTGTTTCACTATTAGGGAGAATGAGTAGACAATCTTGGCCAGTTGAAAAAGTCACTTTGGAAATTCTTTTTAAAAGTGGTGGAAACACGTAGAATGATTTTTTTTTTGTTTGTTCTTATGGTGGCATTTTCCCCCCTAAATATCTTCAAGAATTGGGTGATCCAAATAGTTTTTATTTTGATGAATAAAATTTAGTTTTTTCTACTTTAGTTTGATCTCTCAATAACTTCTATAGATGAAACTTCAGTCTGCTTTTAAAATTTATATATTTACCCATTTCATTTTATAGGCGATTTTATGAAGATGGAGCAATTGTATTGGGTGAGGAAGCAAATATGCTTGCTGGCATGCTGCTTGGACTCAATGCCATTGATTTCAGGTACTTAATCTAAATACATTCAGTTTTTAAGTTATTCTATCTCATAATAGTTTCTACTTAGCTTTTATTCTTGGTTTGCTAATAATAAGTAAAGCACACAGCTGGATATCGATATTTGATTCATGTTGTTCCCTTGCTAATAACATCAGCTTTCTGACAGGGTTTGCGCTCAGAAAAGAGACTGTCTCAAAGCTAAGGTATTAACTGACGTGTTTGTTCTATACTTTGGGCAAAAATATTAGACTGTATCTCCACAGCAGAAAGATTATATACCCTTATAGCACTGAAGGAAGTTTTTGGATCTTGTCTCCTACTATTTTTCAGCTACTGCTTTAAAATGAAGGGGTACCTGGGTCGCTAAGTCGATTAAGCGTCCGACTTCGGCTCAGGTCATGATCTCACGGTTTGTGGGTTCAAGCCCCGCATCAGGCTCTGCGCTGACAGCTAGCTAAGAGCCTGGGGCCTGCTTCAGATTCTGTATCTCCCTCTCTCTCTGACCCTCCTCTGCTCAAGCTGTCTCTCTCTCTCTCAGAAAGAAATAAAACATTTAAAAAAAACTTTTAATGAAAAGAGATGCACTAAAAGTAGATTGAAAGCCAGAAAGATTTTCATTATCTCATGTGTTGAAATAAACAGGTCCTGGTTTGATATCTTGGGTATGTTATGTTTGTATTATGTATCTGGACCATCAAAAATATTGCTAATATTTGCTTTTATCATCAACAAGATGAATTGATTTCAGACTAAGAGTATAAGTTCTAAAAATATAAATGTAAATTTTTCATACATTCATGGAAGTATCTTTTTGCATTTCTTTTTTTTTTAATGTTTTATTTATTTTTGAGAGAGAAATAGAGACAGCATGAGCAGGTGAGGGTCAGAGAGACAGGGAGACACAGAACCTGAAGACAGGCTCCAGGCTCTGAGCTAGCTGTCAGCACAGAGCCTGACGTGGGGCTTGAACCCACAAACCGTGAGATCATGACCTGAGCCAAAGTTGGACGCTTAACCGACTGAGCCACCCAGGCGCCCCTACATTTCTTTAATTGATCTAAGATTTTACATTATGCCAGAAGTAAAAGGTTTGTTTATAACAATTCAAACATAAGATTAATGGAAATATTATAATTTTATTGAAAAATATCACTTAAAAATCCCGGAAAATCAAGAAAATAAGTATAAAACTTAAATGAAAATCTACTGTTAGATCTTTACTCGAAATATAATGCTGCTCATTTCCACTGGGGTTACCTTTTTTTTTTTTTTTTTTTTTTTTTTTTTTTTTTTTTTTTTTTTTTTTTTTTCAATGGTTTTTTTTTTTTTTTTTTTTTTTTTTTTTTTTTTTTAGTAAATCACTTCCTTTTCAAAATATTTTCATTTTCTCTAACTTTCCTCTGTTTAAGATTTAATAAGGTAGTATCAGAGTATTAGCTTAATTGTTTAGAATATGAAAATGATAGATGCAATATGGAAGTTGTCTTTTTGATCCTTCTAAGTGTGTTAATTTTTCACCTGTCATGCTACAAAGACAGGTGTCTGAATCCTTTACAATTCTGTTTTTTGGTACAAAAAGAAAATCTGGGATAAGAACGTGAACTGTTCGTTTATTGTAACCCATTGATACTGTATAATCAGCTGAAAGCAAATGTATTAAAGATACATTAGTGATATTTCTGTAAATGAAGGAAAGCGCTTTATAAAGTATTGCCGCTTTGGCTCACTCCTTATTCAAGCATAAAAAATTATGTACATAACCTTGATCTTAACATATTAGAATGGAATTTCAGCAGGCAGACTTCCAAAGAAACCAGAACGTAGGAGTTCATGAATTTGTTTTTTGAAAGATCCACCTACATCTTATAAATGTTCTTGTTTATGTTCCTAGTAGATGTACCTTTTAAATAATAGTAACCATAAAACTAAGCACTTTTTTTTTTTTTATTATTGGCTACACCATCATACAAAACAAGGATTACTTCTTTACTGGTTTTATGTGACTCCCAGTATGACTTTAGTCAAGTAGCACTTTTCCTGTTGCCATGGCCTCGGAGAGGATTGACTAAAGATCAGAAGGATTTTTTTTTAACTTTCTTTTTAGGTCTAAGACCCAGGCCCTTTCACTTATTCATATAGTTTAAAAACCTTTATCTTCTAATTAGATCTTTGAGTAAGATAGCAGCACCTAAGAATTTGTGTGAAAACGTGAACTAGTCTTCATTTGAAAATCCTCTAGTGGCATCTTAAAAATCCTGTGAAGACCAAGGTAGTGTCAAATAAATAGTTTTTGAACAGATTTCTCAGAAAATTTTTCTTTTGCATGATATACTCCTATTAGAGCATATTAACTTGTGCAGTCCTTTGTCATTGGTATTGAATGTAGCCTTTCTTAAAGTGTTTATTAGTAACAAGTAACATTTAAACTGTGAGTAAAAAATTTACCTACAATTTGATGAAACCTATGTCTCTAACAAGAGATTGTTTATAACACTTAATATTTAAAGGCTTATATATTATGTGACGTATTTATTGTCTCTTAGCTTCTGCCTGAAGGGAGAGGGATTGGATGGAAACTTTCCTGCTGTAATAGACTACACACCATATTTGAAGTTTACCCAGAGGTATTTGATGTTTTGAAATATGTTATTGAAATCTTAATTTAGGGGCACCTGGCTGGCTCAGTCAGTTGAATACCCAACTTGATTTTGGCTTGGCTCATGATCCCAGGGTTGTAGCATTGAGCCCACATTGGGCTCTGTGCTGAGCATGGAACCTGCTTAAGATTCTCTCTCTTTCCCTCTGCCTCTCTTCCCTACTCATATGTGCTTTCTGTCTCTAAAATAAAAAAGAAGAGGAAGAAAAGACATCTTCATTTATAGTTGAATGTCTTTGTATAATATATTCATCTGATTAAAATTGGTTTTATTTTAGTATCAGAAATTATTCAAAAATACCAACTCCATTTGCAAACTCTGTTGTATTTAAGTACATACACTTTTTAATAGTTGTAATTTCAGCATAAATAGTTTTTGGAAAATAGCATGTATTTCTGTTGCTATCATCATTATAATAATAACTTTGATAGCTCTGTAATAGTCCATTGAGAGTTGAAAATTATAATTCATCATTCACATTGTTTTCCATTATAGAGGAAAGGGTAATGAATGCTTTTCAAATCAGTTTTCTTTTCATTTCTTCTGTGAATTTACAGAATTTTTCAGGCAAATACAATGAAAAATTTTATGGTTCTTAAAGTGTGACTTTTTAAAAGTTGTACCAATTTAACACTAGTATTGTATCAGAGCTAAGAATTTCCTGCAGTCTCATCAGCATTGAAACTTAATCAGATGATATTTATAGATTTTTTGAAGGTCTGCTTACATAATTGGTTTCCTGAATAGAATGATTAGATACTTTAAAAGTGTTATGATTAAGCTAGAGCTGTAAGGGGAACAGAAAGAGAGTAATATATGTATATATGTAATGTATGTACACACACACGCACATGCACATTCTTGAAGACCTATTTATTGAGGACCTAATGTAGGAAAGAAACTTTCCTACCTGCCAGGGATACATAGATGTCAATAGTAAAAGTGCTTCATGAAATTGAGAAAAATAATATAGTCTTGTTACCAGGATAGTCACCATCTAGTGAGAGAAGTCCCTATTTGAGAGATAAAAGTGTGAAGATACTTTAGGTGGTGAAGGAGTAGTAACACAGTCTTAGGGTACCAAGATTTCTAACTTGAGTAAGTTGATCACTTGGGAAAAGGGATAATTCTAATACATTACATCTAAAAAACAAATATAGAAGCAATGTTTGGCAGGAGAGGGCAAGATGGCGGAGAAGTAAGGAGCTCCGTACTTGCACTCGCGCCCATACATCACACAGAAAAGATCTGAAGCCATTGGAAACCTTACAAAACCTGAGAGA